GAGAGAGAGAGAGAGGCAGAGAAAGACACAGAGAGAGAGAACAAGAGATCACGTTGGCCACTTAAAATACAGGCTATTCTATACATTTTTTGGTGTTTTTTTTACTTTTTAACTAAACTGTGTTTTCATGATTTATCTTCTTTCAGACAACCCCAATCATTAACTTGGCGCCCTCACAAGGAAAATGGATCCCAAAGAAGGAAAGAAACAAAGAAACAAAGAAAGAAACAAACAGACAGACAGACAAACAAACAAACAAAAAAATAAAGGATTGGAAAGGTGGTAGGTGTTACCAAGCCATGCAATAAAATAACATTATGTTTGAGCCAGAAAAAAGGATACATGAAGGGATACATAGGCGTTCAAGTAAAGAGACTCAAAGGGAGACAGATCGACAGACCTTATAAGGTAGATAGACAGATATGAAGATGATAATGACCTTTCAAAGACCTACCTTCAGAGGTAAGGCAATACACAAACACCGTTCGAACGTAATGAACGCTGTGATCCAGGCGGTGATACGAGTGAAGGTCACGTGAGGCCAACCAGCTGTCAGGTACTGGGGGTCAGATTTGATTTGGGAAATGTAAAAAAGACGAACTACGAGGTGTGTCAGATTCTTTATATTATGTTACAAGACAAACCCTGCTTAACAAAATAAAATGTAGAAAAATGCAATAATTTGGTCACTTAAAACGACACCAGCCCATTGTGAAAGAGGTGCTTGAAGGAAGGATGCTGGGCACGAGAGCCAGGGGAACGAGAGGTAGCTATTTGTCGCTCCGATGACACATGCAGAAGACCCCAGTTTAATGTGGGGAGAATTTTAATCGAGTACCTCGGTCTTTCTGCTGGCATGTTATATACCTCCCAGTCGGTGTTAGCCCTGACAGGCAGGGTCGAAGCCAACCTCGTAAATGATCTATCTATCTGTCTATCTATCTATCTATCTATCTATCTATCTATCTATCTATCTATCTATCTATCTATCCACTTCAAAAAGGGAAGAAAAGAAATGAGTTCATATCATATACATTTCCCCTCAGCGAATATTATTAAGAGAATCAGAGACCTGTACGTCTATAGGATTGAATGGAAGGTCCAGCTCATTGAAGAGGGGGTTGAAGCAAATGTTGTGCCAGATGAGAGTCACCAGACACCCGAGATGAGAGTCACCAGACACCCGAGATCGGAGATGGCCAGACCTGTAGAAACATCGAAATATTATTTAGCTTTTGTAGGGACAAGTGGGTACATAATATGTCCCATTTCATTTATTGTTATAGTTTTTTTTATGTTTCAGATAATCTGTATGTAAAATGAAGTTACGCTTCTTTTTTAAAGTGCCCCAAGTCTTCAGATGTTGTCGAACAACAAGAAGGCGTGTTTTCAAAGAGTTAAGCAGACGGAACCACAAGCATAAACACACCAGTAGTCAACGACCGACCATCATACCGAGCAGACTGACATTGACGGGGTCACTGAATCCTAGCTTGACAAACACGATTATGTTGATGATGTTGGTGACGGTGCCGAAGACGTCGATGATCTCACAGATGATGGCGAAATTCACCACTTGGAAGATGAGTTTGACGTCATCGCTCACCAGACCGACGTCTGAAGCAAGTTCTATCGTCTGGGACGAGTTGTTGGTCTTGAAGTTATGCATGGTTAATTCCCTTGTTGAATGGACTGGAATTAAAAGCGAAATCGCTGTAATATTATACAAAAGAATATATAGAAATATGCTTGTTAGCTTTTTGTTTGTTGGTTGTTGGTTTTGTGTGTTTTGACTAGTTTAATTCTAAACAGAACATTATAATAATATATGGAATTCAAGCGCATGAACAAAATAAAGACAATGCAGAGAATCTAGTTTGTTTGTTATGGGCTATTTTCCCTAATTCCATTTTATTTCGTTTTTTAATTAGCAGAAGACGAAAAGCGAGAAATGTCGAAACTGTGCAAGTTTTTAACGTCTTTGACAATACTATAAGATTATTTAGGAGGCGAGAACTCCAAATTCAACTTCTATCTCCAATTTGATCCGTCCAAATGAAAAATTCATGAAAAGTGTCTTTTTCCATGGACACAATCTCGGACTGAATTGGGTCTGGAACCCCCAAATCCGAAATCTTGAGCTAGCTAGTCCGATAGCCTAACCACTAATAGTCTACCCAGCGCCACATAGTGACAGGAATAAACAAATGAAGGTGAATATTTGTATTGAAAAAGACACGGAAAAAAGAAGAGCCCCCTGCCCCCACCCCCTAAAAATAAAAAATAAAAAAAATTTTAATTACATTAAAAAACCCCAACAAAACAACAACAACAAACAAACAAGACACAAAAAAGGCCCAACAACATAGCGTTGTGAACTAACTAAACAAAAAGGAAAATATGAAGACACAACGAGAATATCCCACAATAAACCAATCACATACAATACAAATCAAGGGAATACAAGACAACCCAAGGCTGCACACAAACTAGAGAGCATGTAGGCCTGTTGATCATTGATTCGGAAAATCAGAAGCACAGGCGTATTCAGAAAGCGTAAGTAATTTTATATTTAAAATCATTGAGAGTACATGTTTTCACTGGGATAACAATATTGTAAGTGAACGTACTTCAGAGTTGTTCTAACTTTAAATAAAATGTGTTCTTCTAGCTTCAGAAGTCTCCATCCACCTGCTTCTGCTTCGTCCTTATAATATGATATTAAGGTACTTTCCTTATATAGTAACGAGGTCTCTATTTATGGATATGCCAATATACACCTTAGACAAAGACGCTTGGGATATTTTAATGATATTATTATTTTCTAAGATGGTTTACTTCATAGTTTTTTGTTTCATTTTCCATAGCTATAAATTTGGAGAAAATACGGAACGATCAATATAGCCAAAGTAGAAATTACATACCGGAAAACCATAAACACATGATGATGATGACAGGTGCTTACATTTGTCAACACCGTTTAAGAAAGTAAAGCCTTAAAAAATAGTACGATTAGCACATTTTGATGGGGGGGTTTCCTCGTGACACTGTGTACCCTATTATTATCTGCTGCATTGAAATGTGGCCTAAAGTGTTGCTAATCGTTTTATTTGAACAAGTCCCAACTGTTTGACAAGTAATAAAAACAGGCGATTGCCAACAAACTTCAACAGGTTATGCCAGTAATATCGTACTGGTAAGAGTAGGGAATTAATATTTTGAATAAAGACATTTTTTATCAAACAAGACGGCCAATGAACGCTTTGTACTCATAGAACGACATTTTAGTTCGACTCGGGGAATTAGATTTAAGTAGGCATGATCAAGTCTGGGGCTCAAAATTTGTCTCTATTTTGTCAAACTTCGTGCATCGATTGTTTTTACAACATAATAACTTCTTCCCTCATTCATGGAGCAGACGTGGCCCAGGTACAGACTGCTAGGAGAAATCTTTGTCTGGCAGAAAAAATGTCATATTTTGATTCCAACGAAACATTCCAATACTGAAATCAAAACTCACTAACCTTTAAAGTATTCAAGAATTACATTTTTATATCCAGGAAAACGACATGCTTTTGTAAGTTGATAGAGTGGCAATAACAATGAGGACACTCTGTTTAGGGGCATTTCGAACAGAGAAAATCACATCTCAATCTTCCATGCAGATAGTTCAGTTCTGTTTCCTTTACCTGAAACTTAAAATGGCAGGCAACATCACTCAAGCTCTGAATCATGCAAATTCTTGTTTCCGATTTCCATTCGATGGTTTTAAATTCGCGGCAAAATTTCTTCTGGTCTGTCCTTGTTCGGACAAATTATGTGTGCGGCCCCTAAGTCCTTTAAGTTAAAGGAATATGTATCACGGGTAGCAAGCAAGCAAAAAAAAAAGAATGTTTGCAGTCTGAAACGAATGTATTTGTACTGTGTACGTGATAACTCGTGTGAACATATTTCGATATCTCTTAGTCCCTGGCTTTCTATTAAAAGCTATGATATTGTTAGTCTCACGAAAAGGCCAACAACATCATAAATAAAAAAGAACGATATTTATTAGTTTGGCCTTGATACTGATGCGACAGATTTTTGGTACTAGACTTTGCTTTCGCCAAACATATCCTACCCACTCTACAAATTTTGTTTTCAGAAATCAAGAGAAACTTAGGGATAAGCTCATAATTTTTCGGACGCGTTCTCGACTTGTGTAACCTACTACATTGTCTTACAGTGATACTGCTCCTCTCAAATTCTTTGAAAAAGCATTTCGCTCAATGTCCATGCTATAGTAATATTGTTTTACCCTAGATTTAAAAGGTGTACACCAGTTGAGAAGAGTGGTCCTTGGGTCTTTACTTAGAATACTTTCCATTACCATAGTTCTCTGAATACCAGGCTGAGTCTTCTCTGGCTCAGGTTGACGTGTAATTGTTTACGGTCGTCAGCTTCTCTTTTGCATTTTTTCATATTACTTAACTTAACCTTTTCCATACTGATACTCGTATGGGGTAGAGTACTCCCTGCATACTGGTCTGGTGACTTTTTAGGACCAAAGATATGTTTTTCTGTACGACTTTTTGTTAAACATTAACAGTGTTTATCTTGCGTGCAGAATCTACAACGAAATTGTCAGGAAGACGGACATTCGTGGGATGACCTTCTCCGGCCCTGCCCTAACAGCCTTGACCTTGTAGATGGTTGCTTTCCGCCACGTCCTGTGTCGCCATGCGTTGTGTGTTGTGCTGAAACATTAGAATTTGCCAGAATATTCTGATACACCCTTGGATGTCATCAAACGGAAAGTACATATCTCGCCCCGTTTGCGAACTATGTCCAGAAGAAAAACAACAGAACAAAACAAAGACAATAACCAGGCGAAACACTCTCTATACTCCCCTCCCTCCACCATTTCCATCCCACAAACTGATCTGACCATGGTCCATCGTCTCTCAAGAACCTGGGGCTCCATCAAATGCTCATTGAGACCAAGTCTGTTATAATAATTCCATAACTCTGACAGATGTGCTCACGAAGCAGTTGGGCTAATGCTACCAACGGTGAGCAAATAACTGACTGTTGCATCTGTACCCTTGTAAGATACATCTTTATTGCCCAGATCCTGGCCCTTTGGTTCGGTGTTTCGCCACGTGTGCGCGCACACACACACACACACACACACACACACACACACATGCACACACACCCACACATACACACACACAAACACACACACACGCACATGTTGGTTTACAATCACATGCATTATATAAATGAGCAGCAATATAAACCATAATAATCTTAAGCAGCTCAATGTTATTCTGATGCATGCTCTAAGGTCATATGAATACTTATAGCAAGATGGTTAAGATGGAAGAATTTTGATGGATGATGGCAAAATTGACCTTCTGTATCTTTCTTTGATAGAGGTCAGAAGCCTAGGTCTTTTACTTCTGGTTGATGTTTTTATTTTAGGGAACAAGGGATGTTTGTTGTAAAAAAAAAGATGGAATTATTTATTTTAGTGCAAGCTGTTATGTACAATTATTCATCCAAGTAGGGGAATGTAGATTTTTAAATGTTATATGCTTTCCGTATTAATTGATTTAATTTTTCTTTATCTTGTTGTCTTGTGTTCCCGGCCCATGCTGTTATACAAAAATTGGTCATACTTTCTATGGTTGAATGATAGAATGTGGACATCAAAGTTTTATCAACTTTAAAATACATGAGCTTCCTTAGAAAAAACAGTCTTGTGTTCACTCGTTTGTGCAGGAGAGAAATGTGGACACGCCAGTTGAGTTTGTTGTCTATTGTAACACCCACATACTTATAATCTGGTCAACGTTTCCACATTTAATTTCCAGTGGCTGCAGAGGCAGTTTCTTTTTTTCTTAAGTCAATAACAAGTTCTTTGAGGGTTTTTTTGTCACATTTAAAAGCAGCTTATGATGACTTTCAAAACTTTCAGAAAAGTTAAGAACAAAATTTCGGTTAGTGGTTTCGTTATGGTCAGCCTGAATTAGCCCAATTATCGTTCAATCATCCGCAAATTTTATCAACTTGATTATACTGTTGTCTATCTGGCAATCGTTCGTGTATAGTGTGGATACAACTGGTGACAAAACACATCCTTGGGGGGGGGGGGGGGGCCTTGATTTGTTGAGATGTACGTCGATGACGAATGTTTTAATTTTACATGCTGGGTTCGGTTGGTAAGAAAACTGCCTGTCCATGATATCAAATTGACGTTAACACCTATATTTTCTGATTTCTTTAAAAGGATAGCTGGCTAGATAGTATTAAAGGCTGACGAAAAATCAACAAACTGGATCCTACAGTATGTTTTTGACTTGTCTAAGTGTCTATATATTGTCAAGAAATAGTAGAATGGCGACTTCCACACTTCTCCCGTGACGATATGCGAATTGTAGAGGGTCTTGGATGAGTTCTATGCATGTCATAGTCTTTTTAGCACAATTTGTTCTTGACAGTTTATAACTACGGGTGTTAATGCTATTGGTCTTAGGTCTTTCATTTCTGTAATTGTTTTCTTTCTTTGTAAGGGAGACGATTTCAGAACATTTCCAAATAATTTGAATAGCATGTGTCAGCAAATACTGGTTGATAATATAGGTGTAAATAGAACTAAGTTGTGCTGAACACATTTTTAGAATT